TACAATGGAAAGGGGGGGCATTACATGCCATTTGGAAGCGAAAGGGTCCTGTCGATGCATGTGACTCGCATCGAGGTATCCTCGTATCCAGCGCCGTAGGGAAGGCCTTCCACAGCTCCATAAGGCGGAAGGCAGCACCTTTCCTTGACGAAGCAGCCGGGACGTTCCAGATCGGAGGTCGTGCTGGACAGCCGGTTCAAATAGCTAACCAGACTGTCCGCGTATTCCAGGCCGACTGTGCCTCGGCCGGGGTCTCTTGTGCGTTAGTCTTCTTAGACCTTAAGGAGGCTTTCCATCGGGTAGTGAGGCCTCTCATAGTTGGTGGTCCTCTCGACGACAGGCATGTATCCGGGGTTCTGCAGGCACTCAGCTTGCCTTCTGACGCATACACCAGGCTGCAAGACTACGTCAGGGACACACCCATCTTTGCCGATGCAGGAGCTGATGTGTGGACAACTGGCATGCTTAGCGAGGTCCTTGCAGACACGTGGTTCACTTGGGGACATGACGGTGGCCTTGCCACCGTTAGGGGTGGAACGAGGCCGGGAGATAACCTAGCTGACATGCTGTTCAGCTTTTTATTTGCTGAAGTCTTACATTGCATCCGTTCTCAACTCCAGGCCCTTGGCCACATCTTCCAGTACCCCTGGCATGCAGACTGGAATTGCTCCCTTGAGCGTGTGCCTGCTGCCGATACTCAGCTCCAGGGGCCGAGTGACGTAACGTGGATGGACGACCTTGCGTTGCTCTTCCGTTCCCGCACTGCATCTGGCCTTGTGCATGGGGTTCGACAGATTGCCACCATTCTGCTCGATGAGTGTGTTCGGGCTGTGTTCATGCCTAATCTTGGCAGGGGCAAGACCGAAGCCGTGCTAACGCTAGTCGGCACTGGCTCTCGTAAGGCCAAACTCGAGCACTGCGGAGGCACTGAGCCCACTCTCGCTTTAAACTCCGAACTCTGGCCCACTGCGCGTTTGCGTGTTGTTGCGGCATATAAGCACCTTGGTGGGATTATCCACCATACGTGTTCAACCTTGCCTGAAGCCCGGTCGAGGATCGGGTCTGCGTGGGCTGCCTTTCGCAAGCATCAGAAACGGGTGTTCACTTCCAGATGTGCTGGCGCCAGGGAAAAGGCCATTTTGTTTGAATCCCTTGTGCTGTCCACCCTCTCGTTTGGCATTGGCACATGGCCCCATGTTGATGAGGGGACTCTTTCCAGATTCCAGACCGCCCTTGTTGGCATGTCACGCCTACTTTTGAGGCCAGGTCGAGGTTTTGACGAGACATCTCACATGTGCCCTGGATTGATCCTTGCCCTCGCCAGAGTTCCCAGTGCATCCGTTGTTTTTCATGCAGAGAGGCTTCGACACATTGCGCTCCTCGTAAGAAAGGGTCCTATCGAGCTGTGGGCCTTGTTGCACCAGAATCGACATTGGCTAGCACAAGCTCAGTCTTCTGTTACATGGATGATAGAGCAGCTAGATCTTTCTGGGTACTCGCGCCCCTTCCCCAGGACTTGGGTCGAGTGTGTTCCTGCAATTCGTAAGTCTCCCGGCTTGTGGAAGTCTTGGATCCGCCGTGCCAAGACAATTGCCTTGCTTGGTGAAAGATGGGGCGCTGAGGTTCAGACATACCTCGGACTCCTGCTGAGGCAACTTCTTGCACTTGGTGCCACCAACCCTCTCTCACAGGCAGGCCCAGAGGACCATCGTGAGATTTGTGCTATTTGCTCCCAAAAGTTCCAGAACTTGCGTGACTGGTCCCATCATGCCTTTAAGAGGCACGGTCGCATCCGCCCAGAGCGAAGACTTGCTTCAGGGACGCAGTGCACGGTTTGCTTAAGACAATTTGCCTCCAACGGGAGGCTTTGTAATCATCTACAGCATTCCCGAAGCTGTTTTGACGCTCTCACACGTGCTGGCTTTGACTATGAGCCACAACCTGGCAGGGGCTCAAAGCAATTTGACAGTGGCATTGACGTCATTGTGCCAGCCTCACAGGCTTTAGGTCCCCGCAACACTTGGCAGGCCGAACCTGCTATCCCCGAATGTGACCAGCCATCCGAAGGCATCCTTGATCAACTTGCTGCATGTCTGTGCTTTGAGAGCGTCGAAATCTGCAGCTTGTCTCATCTTCTTGAGAGGATTCGAGGGATCTTCTCGAGCGAATGCCTCCAGCAGTCTCGACTGCGGGCAACTGCCACTGCTTGGCACAGTCGTCTCCACTCTCTGCTTGGGGATGACGAAGAATGGCCCATCACATGGACTGCTTGGCATACTCGGGCTGCCGATTTCCTACTTGAGGCCGACTTCATCATGTGGCTTGTCATTGATGCTGAGCCTGCTTGCAACATGCATAGCACATTCCGGGATGCCTCTGTTACTCTCCCGTGGTTGGACTACAGTTGTGTTGGCTTGCCTGCTGTCCACACTGTCCATCCCTCATTTGAGCGAGTTGTTGCCAGCGATGCTCGCTCGTGTCTACCATTTACGGTTGACCATATCATTACCTTTGCTGCCTGTAAGGCTGAGCCTGGCCTTCTTGACTTCTCTGGTTGGGCACAAGCTCCTGTCTCTGGTGGAGTTTCACTTTTCGTGACGTGTGGTCTTGTAGGTTCCCTTGAGGTTCCTCGGCCCGTTCATGCCTTTGCCACCATTGAGACAGCCTTGCAGGATTTGCGACTCTTCGGTGACCTTGTGAGGGGTACCCTTCATCTCTGGCGAAAGGGACATCCTGCAGTCTTGATCACATCCGACCTTGGTTGCCCTGGAGTCTGTGCTGTGCAGGCTCTTGCTGCCTGCAAGATACAGAGCGGTGGACTTACAATCCTGGCCAACTTCCCACTTGCTTCTGTCTTTCCCTCTTGTTTCACCCTTTCTAATTAATGCATGACATAGGCTGCGTCTGATCAGACCCTGTGCCCGAAAGCGAGAAAGCGAGAATGTATACAATGCATACATACATACAGAGACGGACAGACAGACAGACAGACAGACCGGGGGCGGGCCGCCGAGCGCCTATATATATATATATACATATATATATGTACACACTGTTCATTTATGTGCATACTTAGCCTGAGGCGGACTCTAGGCAGACAATGTGACCAAACACACCCTCCACTCTGCCCCCGTCGTCAGACAGCTCATGCAAGTCCTTCATTAGCGGGTACCCCCCCCCCAACCCCCCACCCCCGCTCAAGCCAAGCCAAGCCAACCAAACCAAGCCAAACCATGTTTTTAAGACTGACCCCTTGCGCTCCGTACTATCGCTGCTGCACAAGCTATATACTAAGAGGGTGTGCTTTGCTTCTTATCCGGATCAGACAGTGCGACAAAAAATCACAGGAGTCATGAGACGCGACAATGATGGATGCTGGAGATTGCTTCAGCAACATAATTATGCAGGTCCTTCACTGGTGCAAGTCGCCCCCTACCCCCAACCCCAAGCCAAGCCAAGCCAAACTCGAAACCCAACCAAACCAAACCATCTTCAAGACTGCCCCTTTGCGCTCCGTATCATCCCTGCTGCACAAGCCATGTACTAAGAGGGTGCGCTTTGCTTTTTTCTTATATTCAGATCAGACAGTGCGACAAAAACTGGAAGGAGTCATGAGACCCGACAATGATGCACGCTGGAGATTGCTTCGGTAACATAATTGTTCAGGTCCTTCATAGGTGCAAGCCGCCCCCACCCCCGCAACCCCGCAATTCGGCTCAAGCCAAGCCAAGCCAAGCCAGCCAAGATAAGGCCAAACCAAGCCAAGCCAGACCATCTTGAAGACAGCCCCTTGCGCTCGCGGTGTAAGCGATATATACCAATAAGGTGCGCAATGCGTTGCTATCCAGATCAAACAGTGCGTCGTGAGACTCTTACGATAGCACTTCCATCGATACCGATGATGCATGATGGAAGATTGCCTTGGCAGCTTATGCAAGTCGTTGCAAGTTTTTCATTACCATGTGATACACAGATGGATATATATTTTTTTATAGAGACACATCGTATTTCTGGCGCGTTTCGGAAATGCTACTACCACCACCTCTACCCGCTACCAATACTACTACTAGTATTACCAGTACTACTAGTACTACTCGTACTACTAGTACTACTAGTATTACGAGTAGTAGCAGTACGACAAGTAGTAGTAGTAGTAGTAGTACTACTACTACTACTACCACCACCACCACCACGACGACGACGACGACTACTACTACTACTAGTGGTACTACGAGTACTACTACTATTGACCGTTAGATTACCACTGCCAAACTTTCGCGAAAAGCATGGGGATAGCGATCCGTTTCTGAAAGAGCTGGTGTGCCTCGGAAACTTGCGTAACGTGCGTACTTGAGCTTGACGTGCAAGCATGCGCACTTCTGTGAGCTTGGTTTGTCTACGGTTTCTTCAGAATATTGGTGAGTCTGTGTTGGGTGTCCTTTTGGGGCTTCTCGCTGGAAACTGATGTGGTTTGCATAAATGCTGCTTGTGTATGGCTAGGTTGTGGACGTTCCTCTTAGCGGATGAGGTTTGGGGTTTGAAGCAAAAGAACTTCTGTTCGTCCGGCTCGTGTGGTTCGGAGGATTTCGAGGACTTCCGGAGTATAGTGGTGACAGATCAAGAGTGCGTCAGGGTTCAAATTAGGGTCCAGGATTGGATGAAGCTTGTTGCGGCCCATCGGCTGCAGAAAGACACCTCCGGCAACTTTCATGCTAAACGTGAATCGACGAGGGCCTTTAAACCCCGAACCCCCTCAACTAAAGTTTAAAGGCCGCAAACTCAACAAGGCTACTGAAGCCTGAGTCAGACGTTCACGCCGTAGCTCGAGCTCAGCGGTTGTGTAGCTGATGGTGGTGCACGGCTGCTGTAGATCACGCTTTTCTCACAGTTCTCAGATCCCGACCATCTAAACCTCGAACGCCTTGGCCTTTCTTCGAAAAACCAACTCAGATGCAGCATCTACAGACTGGAAACGCACGTCCGAGCTCTGTCTTTGGCAGGTGGTCCACAAGCTGCGGCGAGTCGGATGCGTGCACCCCCGTGCTCTACAGGCCACTGATGGAAAGAAGCGCACAGGTCCCACCAGTTGCGAGGACATCAGGGCAACAGCATGCTCTCTGAACCCTTTGGGCCAAAGTATTGGTCTTAGCAAGGCACCTTGGAAGCCCCGAAGGGCTTCGACACCTCAACATCGGGAAACCTCTCCGTCTGCAACTGGGCCCTTACAAGACCTTGACCTCGCCCCCACCCTCGCCCCTTCAGGTGGCTATCAAGACGAAGAACCTGAACCCACGGCTGAAGAAGCACAAGCTTCCTGGCTTAGGACGACGAAAAGTGGTACGGGCTGCATGGGACCTCAAAGGTTTCTACGTGCTGGGCTGAGTCATCGTGTTGCATGGGAAACCTGTAGGTCGAAACTCAGAAGCCTAAACCCTGCCCCACACAATCCTGAACCCCTAGATGCCAAGCGAAACCTTAAACCCTAATTATCCTCCAGACCGACAGCCGAGGTTCCTCCCCTTCGGGGAAAGCTCTCTGGAAATCCTGGAAGGCTCGGGGCCTTTGCTGTTTACGTTGATCATAGGAGGTATGACATTGGGCCGGGGGACGTCGGGTTTATGGGTCCCTGCAGTATAGGGCTTGTCTTCCCTTCATCGTTGTTGGTTAGTGCTGTAGGATGTTTTGTTAAAGACAATCTAGGTCTTACGGATGCCTATCGGGTTATTTAAGGGGTATTGCCGTATTGCGGATAGCCGAAATCCTGCAGTAGCTTAGCGCACCCTGCACTGTAGAAAACAGTGTATATTTCTTAGCAAAAGTGCCTCTGATTTCGATTGTTTGGGGCTGACTTCAACAGAAGATTGAAGCTTCCTGCCCACGAATCGAAGCCGTTTTCGGGCTAGGCAATCTGCCGATGTTGATCTTACCGTGCATAGAGATAGTAAGGTGGTAACATGTAAAACCCAGGAGGCTGAGGTGGGTGGTTAAATGCTTCGGGGTCAGTCTCATCTTACCTCACGAACCTTGAGACCCATCGGAGACACCCTTCTTTGCGGAGGATGGGCTCTCATCTATGCGGCCAGCCACTCCATGGGATAATGGCTTGAGGGCTCCCGGGACTGGCAAAGCCAGTTGCTGAGAGCCACAAGATGTAGAGCAGGTTTAATGCGTCTAATGATGTTGCAGAAACTTCAAGGGGCACTGTGTACCGTAGTATGTGTGCATTGCCTCTTGGATCCCAGCTTGCCCGCACGTGATCGCACGTTGTGCCACGGTTCATAGGATCTAATTAGAGGGGTACGATCCCTGGTTTTGTTTGCTTTCATAAGCCCCGAAGGACAGCTGAGGGACCGGCTAGCAGAATCCTTGCCGAGGGGGTTCCGAAGGAACCCGTGCAGCCGGAGCACAGTGCCGAAGGGCGTGCCGAAGCAGGAAAAGGGCGGTGTCGTGGGAGTCATGAAAGGATGACCTGAGTGTCTTGGCCATGATGTTCTTCTGCTGCTACACCAACTACTACTTTCGCAATTCCTGCGGTTTGGCTTTCTACGTTCCGCTTCTACTCCTGCTACTGGAAACCACGGTGGCCAACCTCCTCTTCTTTTGCTTCGCGCCTTAGGCCATGAAGCATTACCGCTGGCCGGCCAGGGCTTGGATCGGGCGCCTCGGCTCAAAATTTCTGTGACCAGAAAGGAGGAGTGAGAAGAGATGAAGCAGAGGAAACGCCGCCGAGCCGCTTCCCTTCCTCGCTTCTGTGGGCTTTTCGTTTGGGTTTCTCTGAGCTGTCGTCCTGTGTTCCGTTTGATCGGGAGAAGACCTTTTTTCAGGTCGGCATTCGGGCTTGGGCTTTGGAACCCTTTGGGAGTTTAGGGCTTCAGTTCCTGTCAGGGCTCGAGTTTGCAGGACTTAAGGAGAAGATGGAGCGTAGTGTTTCACTCCCTGCTATTGGTGTTTTGCAGACGGACGGCTTCGCGTGCTCCAACACACTATGGACTATGGAAGCCTTGAGAATACTGAGACCAACATCACATGCCCGGAAATGGAGGGTCCTGCATGTGGTTGTTAGGTCAGCGGCTCGCACAGCCTCGAAGCAGCCCAGGTGGAACCGGATATGTCGGCCTGGCAGTATTCTGGGACCTCAGCAGCAGTTCCTGTGCGACATGCAGCAGGACATGTGGCAGGCAGGGCGAAGAGAGTCGATAGATGGATAGCTGGGTAGGTAGGTGCGTAGGCAGGCAGGCAGGCAGGCAGGCAGGCAGGCAGGCAGAGAGGTAGGCAGGCAGGCAGGTAGGTAGGTAGGGAGGTAGGTAGCTTGTAGATCGGTAGATAGATATTTGGCTAGTAGGAGGTAGGCAGGTCGAAAATACATGGGTAGATGCACAGGCGAATACAGACGTAGGTGTAGATTCAGGTAAATAATTACATATTACCGGACCCCAAACTCCATTCCGCACATGCTACGACGAGGCGCTAATTGTGCGATGTTCCGGCGTGAGAGTTCCGACTGCGACACGACAGACCGGCAAGAGATCGAGTCTCCCATCCCGAACCAGTAAGCTCCAGGCACCTACTACACATAATGCACACCTCCAGGTTTGAAGGACTTAAACATCCAAGCCCCAATCAGAGGCTTCAATCTGTACGCCCAATCAGCGCCAAGACCCAGAATCCTACAGAGCCCTGGTAAACACTTGCAAGGCCGGTGAGGCGCTGCGTGGCCCCGTTGCATGCCCGGCACATTGGCTTTGAAAGTCTTGGAGTTTATATGATTCTATATTATACTGTATTATACTATACTATATTATAGTATAGGATAGTATATTATATTATACTGGAGAGGGTTTCTAAAGCGGCTCGTGATGCTACGCAGAGCTGATCATCATCAGAGCTGTTTTAGCACGCGCTTGGAGCCCCATCATGTACCAGGACCCGCCTACCACTCAGGCTGTGATGTTGGGGCTCAAATCCCGAGGACCCATAATTACTTTAGTTATGAGACTGCTGACGGCTATAGGGGTGCCTGAAGATCTCCAGCGTCCTGAGATTCCTTTGCAGCTGGGCGCCTCCCCGGCGCTCGCAGAGCCAGTAACGCATGAGTAGTTCAAGCAGTCTCACGGCTTTCCTTTTTAATTTTACTTCTTTGCAAAGAGAAAACCGGAGCTTTGTCTTGCAACTGCCCACTGGCACTCGAGAAGCAGAAGGCGCCCCAACGGAAATCCGAGTCGCCAGGCTGGTCCCAAAGTGGCTGAGATAGAGAAAAAGATGGGGGACCTCAGCGTCCGCGACCGCACCCAGGCAAGTTGAGGACACGTCGTCTTTCCTGTGGATTCGGTCTTGTCTTCGCTTCTGAAAAGCAGGACTTTTTGGCATCTTTTGGCCGTGTCGATATGGTAGAGCGGAATACACACCGCCTTCCAAGATATGCCAGAGTGTGAACGTACCTAAAAGCATAATATTGTGTTATGTACATGCAAATTTATGTGTGTGCTTGACCCTCTAGAAGTTCTATACATTCAATACTAGAGCCTCAAAACTGGGGTTCCAGAAGGAGATGCGAAAACCGATGGCACAGCGGCTGAAAATAGGTGCAAAAAGCAGGACGAACATATGATAAACCCGAAACCCAGAACCCCGAACCCCAACCCTGAACGCTAAAACCAGACAAATCAACCATGGCGAGCCCTGCTGGGAGGCCGAGCGAGTGGAAGATGTGGGCCAGGGCCTGGACCCCAAAAGAACCATCAGAATAGGTCTCTAGGTGTATATGTATATAGAGAGAGAGATAGATATATATATATAGATAGATAGATAGATAGATAGATAGAGAGTAATAAATGGAGAGAGAGAGAGAGAGTCTGGAATAATCATCAACCTCCTGCCCGCCATCTTCATCATCGTTGCCGTCATAATTATGGTGACAGACCAGTACTACTGGATTTTCGAAGAGTTCTTTCGCACCATGGAAGCCATGAGGATGCCTTCGGGGTCATAAAATAGGATTGAGGATGCCACTCGTGCCGTTGTTTTGTGGGGAACTCTTGGCATGCGATGTCTGCCAGTTTGATATTATGTTTCTCTCTATCTCTCTCCCTCTCGCTCGCTCGCTCTCGATATCTTTGTTCTGCTTCCTTCTATGTGTTCTGCTTCTTTCCTTTCAACCCTTTCAATCTATGTAGCCCTCTACCTGTGTCTCAGATTTTCTGTCACTTACTCGCTTTCTCTCTCTCTCTCTCTCTCTCTCTCTCTCTCTCGCTCTTGGCCCTTTTCCCTCTGTGTTGTATCCCCGTCTCGTCGTTCTCTGGCTGTCCTTCGGTGTCTCAGCCGCGCTTTGACGCCCTGGCCTCCAAACGCTTCAGCCTCCCGAAGTGGCCCCTAAAGCACAGATAAAGCCTCCTCATGCTTTGTCATATGACCCCATATCCCGCTCTGCCAAGAGACAAGGTTAGAGTTTAAGTTGGCACTCTTGGCGCTTAGATTGTGGGGCGCTGGTAAAATCGGCTACAGACGGAAACAATGCCGCCTGTTCACAGTGGCGCTTACTGGTTCAGGGTCAAACTAAATCGAAAAGCGAGCTGCTATCCGTTGTGGTTGCATCCGTCCCTAGGCTCAGATCTGCCTGTACCTGTTATCCTGATCTCTGCATTATATAGGAAGCACATAGCTGTACATAAATAGCAAAATGCAAAATACAAGATAAGTGGACACATGATTATTCGTAATGTATAGATACATATTTTTCTTTTGATATCTTCACAATCATACATATATATATATATGTATGTATGTATGTATGTATGTATGTATGTATGTATGTGTATGTATATGTATATGTATATGTATATGTACATGTACGTATGTCAGATGTTGGTTGGTCGCAGCCGCCAAAGATGCTGCACAGGTGTTTGGCTGAGGCCATCACGCCTGCAGTTGGAAGGCGCCCTGGGGATTTGAACATCCTTCATCGGGACATGGTTTAGGGTTTACTTTCAGATTCTGTCGAGATTTCGGTCAGCAAGGGCACCAATTACAAATCAGTGTTAAGTGTGTCGAGTATCATCTTCCTTGCATGACGTATCCGCGGGCAGACATCCGCATATTTGCGCACTGACTTTGCCTTAAGTGCGAAATCTGTGTGTGTGTGTATTTGTGTGTGTGTATACATATATGTATATGTATACCTATATGCCCATGAACATGTATGCATAAATCTAAGCATAATATATACATATATATATATAGAACTATAGTTATACATGTGTATATATATATACGTATATGATTATTTGTTTCCTCGTATCTGCACATGCATAGGGAGAGAAAGACAGACAGATAGAGAGATAGTTAGGTTGGTAGGTAGATAGTATAGTTGGGCAGACAGGTACATAGATAATTAGATAGGTAGGCAGTTACATAGACGGATAGCTGTAGACACACATAGATACATACACGTACGCATTTACATACATATAAAAGTACACATATTCACGCAAACGTGCGTATGTGTATATATATACATATACATGCATTTTGCCATACACAGATACATGCATACAT